CGCTGCGAAAAAAAATCAATAAAATGTACAGTCAAAGCTCTTCAAGTCGAATTTGAAGGGATCAGAAAATAAATATCCAGATACAGAGGTCTCTTGTTGAAGAAACAAAGCATTGAGGGGGGGGGGGGAGAGAAAATTAGAGAAATCCGGAATAGGTGATATTCTGGGTCTTGAATTGCTTCTTAATGAGTTGACAGGATCCTGAACTTGGAACATTCGCCCCATGAGTCTTTCAGATCTTTTCAAAACAAATCAAGATACATTTTTTACTGCTTTTCTCTTTCTTGTGTCAAAAAAGGGCTCCGGAAAATTCGAGTGAGTGTTTGAAGTTTGAAGGGGAAGCTTTAAAGTTGAAGGGGTTTTTCAATGCATTGTTTCCAAGGAAATTTAGAAAAGGAAAAGGCTAATTTTGTGCTTTTCTTTCTACAGGGCTCCCATCAACTGTCTACACTTCCAAGTATAGCAATGCAGTATTTTTCCTTTTTTTTTGGGGGTGGGGGGCTTTTTAAACTACCCTTCTCATGCCAGACAATCAGATCCAGTGTGGTTTTTTTCTAAAAAGCTATTTTCTGCACCTTAAAGTTGAGGAACATATTTTTTCAACTTTTATGAGGACTTCATCGCACTTTTTTGCCGTACAGAAATGAAAAATACAGGTGATGAAAAATGTTCCATGGAAGTCTATTGGAAAACATGATCCAACACAGCGACAAGGTCTATATAAGCACCAATTACGTCCGCATCTCGGGACCCCCACTGATTATTTTCTTCCAAGAGGATCAGTTATTGTGGGAGGGACGACGACCAGCAGACGCACGGTTCAGAGTGCGAAAGTTGTAAAGTTTAAAAGCCGGTGCTGGCGGGATATACCAGGGCTAGTTCATAAATTTCAAGAATGCTTGAACATATTGAAATAGATCACACGGAGTTTAAATAATAAAAAAAAAATAGTCTGCTCACATAGCCACATCATTTGGCAACACTTCAGTGCTGTTCCAGATACAGTACGGTCCTCCAATTTCAATGCATTTTTTCATGCTATTTTTATTGTTGGATTTATCCCATGAAAAAAATGCATTGAAATCTCGCATTTCAACTCATGGAAATTTCAATGCATTTGTTCATGCTATTTTTATTGTTGGATTTATCCCATGAAAAAATTCATTGAAATGGTGGAAAGTATGTTGAACTGTACTGTACTGAACTGTTGGCTGTCACAAATATTTATTGTATGTTCCCTGCCATATTAATTATACACTGTCTGGGAAGTGTGCTTGAAAAAAATTGTTGCTCCCCAGCAACTGGGTTGCTGAAATCACCAATGTTGTTGGGTGTTGTCTAATGTTCAATTTCTCACCTGTTGCCTGCCCCAGTTTAATTTTACTGTCTGCACATTGGTCAATCACTATCTTGAAGCAATAAAGGGATGTCTGAATGTACTTTCAGTGTTCATTTTTCTTTATTTGTGAAAGTTACTACAGTAACAAAAATTACTAACACACATTTCTCTTGTTCTTTGAAGGAGGAGCAAGTTATTTTATAGGTTAGATTTGCCCAAGCTATAAGAACAAAAATCTCCTACAGTTTTATTCTGATGAGTTGACTCTGATGAATTCAAATACAGGTGGTACCTTGCAATTCAACTTCCAGCAATTTGATGGTCCAATTAGCAGGGAGGTTGACTTGCAATTTGACCCTTGCCAACAATTCACCTGCTTTGGCCGTTTTTTTTTACATTCTTGTACTTATACTTTTGAATTTAACCGTGTCTTGCAATTTGACGCTAGTTTTGCAATGGATTAGGGTGAAATTGTGAGGTACCACCTGTAAACAGAAGAAGACGTTTGGAAGATTAGAGAATCCATTTTCATACATGTCAACTGAAGGATAAATGGCTTTGTGAGTAAAAAAAAAATGTAATAGTCAAAACTCCGTTATTGGATCTAGTTTAAAAAACCTCAATTTTTACATATACAGTACTTCGTTACCAATGTCAGGGAATGAATGGTTGTATGCATACATGTCAGATGTCCAGTTGTAATTCATGTTGTATTGTATTTTCTTTTATTTTTGTTATCAATTTGCGCTTTCCTGCTCTGAAGTGATTAAATGTCATTGAGTGGATTTGGGTTGGGTGATCTGAAGTGAACGAGGTCATCGTCGGTCAATTGCTCACTGCGGGCAAAGGACCCAACACTGGACGCCAAGCTGCTTGTATCGCCGGCATCCCGTTCAGTGTGCCCACCTACACGATCAATATGCTCTTAAATCTTGTTCGAAAGTGTGATGTTCATTCATTCATTCAAAAGCCTCAAGTTTATGAACTAACCCTCATGTAAAATACAGTACACTGTATGGTATTGTACCTGTGATCCCCATGGCTTCCTTGATGAAGGCACAAGTCAGGGCATCTTGGAAAAGGCTGTCTTGCAGGGACAAGGGGCCCATTTTCATGCCTTGACGTAGGTAAGCCGTGTGTTCCGCCCTGGACATTGACTCCTGACCCCCGCACAGCAGGATCTTGGCATCTCCGTTCCTGATTGCCTGAAAGGCCAGCATCACCGTCCTTCAAACAAAGAGCACGTGGCCTTTTTTCAAGCAGATGAGCGCAACTTTGAGTGCAACATAACATAAAGGATGCTCTTTTCTTTTCTTTTTTTTTTTTCTCTCGAGGATATCTGGGAAGTCGATAACAAATGAATTGTCCGTATAGTCAAGGGTACCCCCGAACACTCGGCTTTACTATTATTCTCCCTTTGAATGGACTTGTTGTTCTTTCTTCTCTTGCTGGCCGATGACACTTGAGGCATTTATCATGTTTCTAGGGTCAACATATTGCGCGCGTTCTTCAGAAGATTCAAAGAAGCACAGTCATTTCTTCTGCTCCAGGAAAATAGCAAATTTGAACAGGATTTGTTTTTTTTTTCTTCGTAATTTGAAGTTCTCACGAAGTGAATCAATTCTAGGACGAGTTTTCTAACGTAATCGATCTTGCTCGTGAATTATTCGAAAATTATTCAACGCGTTCCAGACACTGGAATTCAAAATTTGGAAATTTTTAACGCTCGAGTAACCACGGAAAAATACAGTTCAGTTTTTTCCCGCGTGACTTTTAAGAAAATGAGCAAATTCGATTGCAACGTAATATAAAGGATTCTCTTGTTATTTTTTCTCAAGAATCTGTGCATAGCAAATTAGAAATCTAAAATTGGAGCAAGATTTTTTTTTGATTGAATTTCTCACGAAATTAATCGGTTTGAAGGTGCGTTTATTTTAACGTAATCGATTTTACTCACGCACTGCTATATACAGGTATTTGAAAGTTATTCAAAGCGTTCCAGACACTGGAATCCAAAATTTAGAAAATATTAAACGCAAGAATAAAAGGGAGAAAAAACATTTTCTGCGCAAGCTGAAAAAAATAGAGGCCTTTTTCACAGAAAAAAAAAACCAACCCCAAAAAATAATCTCCATAAAATGCAGTGAATTGTCAAACCAAGCATTAATTGCAAGTCTTCGGATAATCGAAGTACAATACAGTACTGTACAAAGTTAAACAGGTGGACTCTCCTCACAACAATTTTTTCTACAACCATTTTCTCTACATAACGAGTTATTTTGAATACCCTTCCTTAGGGTTTCTCTACGAAGAAATTCGCTCATTACAACGACCTTTTTCTGGCTCCTTGAGTTTCGTTGTAGCGAGAGTACACACCTGTAATAGGAACATTTCCAGGGATAAAAGACTATACCGTACACAGAGCACTAGGATAAAAAAAAAAGAACGGAATTAAATCTGACTTTAATCCAGATCCGCAGAGCATATTGATCGTGTAGGTGGGCACACTGAACGGGATGCCGGCGATACAAGCAGCTTGGCGTCCAGTGTTGGGTCCTTTGCCCGCAGTGAGCAATTGACCGACGATGACCTCGTTCACTTCAGACGGCTCGACCTTTGACCTCTCCAGGGCAGCCTTCATTGCCACTGCGCCCAGCTCGTGCGCTTCCAGCGACTTCAACCCGCCCAAAAACGATCCTGTTGGAGTCCAAGATGAAACAATTTTGTCAAATGCGAGACATTTTGTCAATATTGGGAAGCACAGTACAGAATCTCATTGCAAAAACGCATTAAAATTAGTAATAATAACGTGAAAACTCAGGAGGGATTGCAAAAGTTCCAAAAACTTGAATAAACTTGTATAAGGCAAAAATTTCATAAAATATTATTTGTTTAAAGATGTTTACTCTATTTAAAAAAAAACCAAATACAAGAATTTTGTCAATATTAGGAAGAGCAGCAGAATACAGTTAAAAAAAATAATACACTCAGGATACATCGCAAAAAATTCAAGGAGACTTTAGCAAACTTTTGATAAGGCAACAATTTGATAGAATGCAGTTTGTGAACACTAGATTTTTATTGCATAAAAATAGAAAATCCATGGAACTTTTTCAGTGATTGCCAAAAGCAGCAGAATCTTCCTACAATTTAAAAAATTGAATTTCTGTACAATATATTTTATGCTGAAACTTGGGAAATACGGCAAACATGTAAGATTTCAGGATGTTCTTGGAAGCGATTAATTTGATGGAATGCAGTTTTTTCGAACAAGATTTAAGAGCATTAAAAAGGCCGCTCATTCGAAACAATACCACCGAAATTTTTCAAAGTTGAAAACAAAACGCACGAGAGTCATTAACTAAATTTAACCTGTAAAAGTTAAATTTATTGCGAGACCAACAAAAACGTTATCATTTGAAAAATAATGTTTCACAAGCAGTATTATTTGAGGCACTAGATTCAACTTTAAATTACGATATTCAAGTCATTGAAATTGTATTTCAGTCACTCATTAGTTAATTAGGGTTTTGATTTTAAAAGTGTTCATCCAAGTGGATTGAGGATGAAAAGTTAAATATAGTATATTTTTAAAGTGAAATTTCAAAAGATTTTCACAAAAATTGAAAAAAAAGTTTACAGGTAGATTAACAACTGGAAAATAATTGAAAATAAAAAAAAATTGAACAATGATACAGAAGAAAGATTACTGGCAGAAATTCGTCGCATCGAAAGTATTGCAGCAAAAATCGTAGAAAAAACGGAAATTCATTTGATTCCAAAATAACTACAGTACTTTTATGGACGCAATTTTTTTATACTTATACAAAAATTGAAGATCCATACGATTCTCTCACCAATTGGGGTTCGGGCAAAAGAAGTGATCACCACTTGTGTGCTCATCTTTTCTGAGTGATTGAAAATGACTTTCGCGGAGCTCTTCGAAAACAGTACGAATTTTCACTGAGGTATTCTTCACATTGGTCACCGACGAAGTTATAATAAAAAATAATTCGACTGAAAGCTCCATTTTGTCCCAAATTGACAGTGGAAAAAATGCTTCCGTCACAGTTTAGCCATTCTCACCAGTGACAGTTCAAAAGTTTCGTCATTAATTTCAACAACAAAAATTTTCAGACAAAAATAGATTTCCCAGTGATAATATCCTCCCACCTGCTGTTGAAGGACTTACATTTAAAGCGACATCTGTCCATCATCCAAGGATATAAAATATTGTACATCGATGAAAACTCCAATTACGCTAAATTTTTAACACGAGCACCAAAAATTAAGAAGAGGAAAATATTTTCTTCGTTCGACAGTGTTTTTATAATTTGGGAAATGGGCACTAAAATTAATGAAAGATAATCATTCGAACACTTCCAGCGCCCTTCAGTTTAAAAATCACGAACAAAGGCGGTGTTGATGAGTGCAAAAAAATGCTTGAAAATATAAAATGTTACAAACTATTCACATTTATTCAACCCCGAATGAGAATACGGAAATCAGAATTTATTTGCAAACAAAAGTTTCGAAAAGAAACAGAATGCTACGAAAACGCAGGAAACAAGGCTTATTCTTCCGCTAGATTCAATTAAAAATGCAATCAAAAATTATGAAGATGATTTTTTAACGATTTATCAACACAATTTCAAACCGTACTGAACCGAAGCACGAACGGGAATGACTAAGTATCTCGGTGAAGGTTTCTGTTACGATGCTCCGGACTGACGAGGATTTTTCCCTTGGTGATAATTTGCATCACCTTCACGGCATTTTCGCAATCGTCACGCTCTTCTCACTGACTTTTGAATTTGTCAAGGCTCTTGCCAAAGTTTGTATAATTCACTTGAATATTAACACGATTTTATACAAAAAGCCTTCAGAAAATGGTAAATTTATTTGCATAATCCTGACGCTGAAAGCGGACCCTGACGTTTTTCTTGAAGAATGCCGCGGAAAATTTTATGAAAATAAACTCTACCGTTTTTTTTATTGAACCAACTTGGCGAATTTCTGTAGAATGCACAAAACATTATTCATGTTTATTCAAACAGGGATGCGATGACGGAAAGCAGAATCAATTCTTCGAAAAGGAGATCGTCGCGTGATGATCTGGCAAAAATATTCAGTTCCATGATCTAGCAAAATCCAACAACTTCGTGGTTGTTCTTCATTCACATGGAACTTGATTTTTTTTTTCAACAAGTACTGTACTATGAAATGAAAAAATTCGACTTTCAAACAATAATGATAAAAATTGCATTTAAAATAGAATTAAGGGGCTGCTGATTTTAATTTTTAAAATTATGCCGGTTGAAAAATATCCAGGGTACAAAGAAATCATTTTCTCATTTTAATTATTCACTTTACAGCAGAATGTAACATTCTAAAATTCGGGAAGCTTTTCAAATCGTAAAACAAAGGCGAGAAATCATTCGTGCCAGATAAAAAAATGTAATTACCCCATCTTTCGTTTCAACGACTTTTACCGTACGAATATTCATCGAAAATATCGTAATATAATCGGACAAAGCAAAAAAATGCAATAGAAGGACGATAAAAATAATTTTTTGACAAACTACATAGTAAAAATTCCGCATAGATTTTAATGCTCAAAGCAGTTCTTGAATATTTCTGCAGGGAATTGCATTTTTTCAAAGTTCCGCGCAATTTAACGCAAATTATATCGACTTGCTTTTTCGTTGTAATAAAATGTCTTTGCCAAAGGAATCGGATTTGACACATCAAAAATCGATTTGAGCAACATTTTATTCGAAAAAGAATTCTTTCGCAATTGCTCGGGCAATAGTTTAATTTTAAAAAATTATGCGCGTGTTTTTATGAATACCGACATCACATCATCAAAATCTTCACCAATATTTTCCAGCACGAAAAAAATAAAACTACCGTCTTCCCTTCAGCACAGACAATACCTGCGATACTCGATTTTTAAAATCAGGTTAAATGCTATTTTACATTCGAGTGTAGTTTATTCCGCTCGTTAGATGGTATGACATCAAAATTTCCACATCCGGGTTTACGATAACCCGGCTCAGGTTCCGATCAGAAGTAGGACGCGGGTTAGGAGTGAACCAGAAAGCGAGCCATTCAAGTTCGGCATCAGTACTACATTTTAAAGCTATTCAAGACGAGGCACCATTTCAGAGCTACGCTTTTTTATATGCATCACAACTTTGCCTTTTAAATTCTAGGTATAGTGAGGCCTGCAAAGCACGAGTTTTTCTTTGCAATCATGACACAGGTATTCCTATATAAAAATCGGGATATTCCACTAAAATTTTATAGTACAGTACAGCACTTTATTCTGACTAGAAAATTGTAGACTGTGATGAACGCAAACTCAAAAACCTGTACCGGAAATCAAATATTACGGCTCTGAAAAGGAAAAAAGGCCTGTTTTTTAGAAAGAGGGTTTCAATAATGCTTGAAATAAATCTAAATAACGCTGTAGTTTTCTCAAAGTACAATTTGAATTTTACGCGGCCATAGTAAAAAAAAAAAACATTCTATGGCATCGCAAAAATCATCTTGATGAAAGTCATGGACAGAAGTTCATTTTCCTAATTTGTTCCTTACATAAAATATTTTTTGATATTTGTCAAAACTGTGTTTTTTCTCTCGATGGATATTCAATTATTTACACAATTTTCACAAGAAAATCTTTGCTGATTTCTTGACCATAATGCGCCAATGATATTTATCCAATCCCCCCCCCCCTCAAGTTCAAATTAACAGAACTCAGAGAGCTGTGTTCTATTAATTTTATTTCATTCAAAATGTCCATTATTCATTTTTCTTCACATTTGCTATATTCGGAAAAAATAAATTTACATCTTTTTTTATCGAAGTACCGAATGCCATGTTCGGAATATAACCAGAAGACGGGTCCAATATCTCATAGTCTGAAGTAATCCTTCAATCCGCCATTTTTTTGCATCTCTTATTTCACTCAATTTGCACAAGGCCCTTCAGTGAAGCAGCACCAGTGCGGAACCTATCCCAGGTTTTCCTACGGACACGCCTGAGAAAGAACCCCATGAAGCAAAGGCAATGGGAAACGGGTTCATTTTGCTGGAATACATTTATCTGAGAAAGAAAATAAAGGAATAGGAAGAGTCGGGGGGGAAATGGGGAGAATTTTGGGCAAGATTCCAAGTGCCGCGTCAAATCCAGGCTACCAGTACTTGCATGGTGTCTCAATTCCCACGCGGACGTTTCTCCCATCACAAGAAATCTCAGATGTCCCAACTGGTGCAGTGAGATGTGAGAGGAATACGTTGCACCTACATTATATACAGGGTGAGGATAAAGAAAAAAATCAGTTCAAGGGGGGATTTGGTTCAAAAGTCCCGAAAAGGTGGATGACACCAAAGATTTTGGTAGACTTTCTCATAAAACAAAATTCAAGGAACCAGAAAAATCATTGCAGAGAGGATTTCATATTAGATAATATATTTAACATGGACAGAGAAGCAAACAGGACCACAAACCATTTTTTTATACAGTTGAACCTTGGTAAGTCAAACCTGCCAAAGTCAAAAACCTATACTGTACCACAGTCATTTTTTAAAAGTCCCCATCTGCATTCCCTTAGACACAATGCATTAAAACCTACCTAACATACAGGCTTTTCCTCTAAATCAAATTTTCTGAGGCATTTTGGCTCTTATTTTCTTAGTGACCAAGGAAAAAAGCAATAAAAAGCAGAATTTGATGTATTTTGGAAGGATGTGACAGACTAAATTGGTCCAATGAACCTCTGCCTCAAATTTCAGCATCCTTTCAACTCTTTTCAGGAGTATTTCAAGGTCCACAATATCCCCATTTAAAATTAGTGCAATTCTTCTATGCTTCCCATATGAAAAATGATTGGTTCTATAACTCTAAACCTCTCCAAGTTTATTTTTATTTTCAAAATTCAACTTAGTGAGGTTGAGAGAGAGTCCACCTGCATGTAGCCTCTCTACAATAAAACTCAAGAGTGCAGAAAACAATTCATTGCAGAGATTTTCATTCCAGAGAATCAATTCAACATGGGTGGAGAAGCGCAAAGGACCACAAAAAAAGTGTTACACACAGAAAATTGTTGTAAACAAGGTTGTCATAGAGAGAGTACACCTGCAGGTAGATGCTCTAAAAAAAATCCAAGGGACCAGAAAAAGTTCTTGTGTAGAATCTCATTGCAGAGAATCCATAAAACATAGCTAGATGGGACCAAACAAAAAGGTGTTATACAGATTAAATCATTGTATAAAAGTTCATTCTAGAGAGAGTCTACAACAAAATTCAAGGGACCAGAAAAAAATTTGTTATAGAGGGATTTTTTTTAGAAAACCTCTGACATTAGAGAGTATCTTGAAGGACCCAACAAAAATTATTTATACAGAGAAAATTTCTGAAGACAAGATTTTTGAAGAGAGGGTCCATCTGTAAATACCATGGACACCTGCTCAAAAAACTTTTCGGTCAAATAAATTTTTTCTCCAACAACAGTGCTTCAGTTATCAAACCAAAATTTGGCCAACAATCTCTTTCCAGCAGCAAACCTTCTAATTTCAAACAAACGTTTGGTCGAATAACTGGATTAATTTTTAAAGGGTACAATATATTACCAAGAAGTATTTTTTGCATCGAGATGCAAATGTCTGCCGCCTGGCACATTGACGTGAATAAACATGTTTTTTCTTCTTCAAAAATTCCTTTCATTTGTAACCATTGCAACATAGATTATACATAATCCACAAACAAATTTTGACTAGGGTGATGAACTTCGCATATCAAGTTTACATCGATGCTGGAAAATCTTAAAACATATTCTGAAGTCTTGACACTTTCTCCATATCACATTAAACGAAAGGAAACGCTCGTTCGTTGATCCATACTAAATGGTGGCGAATGCGGAATCTTAATCTCAAAAAATTAAGACGTTTACGGTTTTTATTTCACGCATTTC